AGAGCGGTTTTAAACTCATTCGGACAAGAAAGTGGCACCAATATGAACAAAACAGTCTACATGACTGTAGGTGAGGACCCACATGACTAACACACCCCGACTAACACCAACTGTGAAATGCCACTGATTTGTGACAAATCCTACTTCCAGAAATGTGGAAAAAAGGGCATCTTAGACTCTTTGAAATGTGAAATCCTCTTGAGAGGACAAGTAACCTGCTCTATGGGTCACAAAGCTGACAGGTGAGGTCTTGGGATCTGAAGCCAATTGGACTCCAGCGCCTTCTCCAGTCGTGTCATGCCACTTCCTGTTTTACTGAATTCCTCCCTTTACCTAATATCAGTTATAGGGCACTTAATGGTTACTGAAAGTCAACAGCAGGAAGCAGAAGAGAAAATGAGAACGCATACTTCATGTATATAAAGTTATTTTTATTTATAGGAAAAAGAAGGTGCATAAACTTAACAGGGCATCTCCTGGCAAGTAGTTTAAAATCTGGCAGAGAAAATATGCACGCAGGACTATTCACAAGATCTGCACGTGCGTGTCTCGACACAGAGAGAAAGTGCTGGGAAAGCAGAGAAAGGGAGTCTATGCCTGGATGGCACACCCGCTACATGGGGCTTCATGGCAGAGCGCATATTTCAGGTGAATGAAGAAACTCTTTCCAACCTCTTCCTGAAGGTTAAAAAGAGTTTCACCCGGAGGAGAAGGTGTCAGATGAGGTGTCCAGAAAGAAGGAGGAACACCAGGAAAGTGGGGCGGGGATGGAGTGTCATCCACACCAAAAAGGTGAGTGATTTAAAAATCCGGATAAGGTAGCAGAAGTTAAGTACTGCAGAGTGAACGACAGCCACACTCTCGCTCCACTGGGGGCTGTGCAAGAACGCAGCGCAGGAGGACGACGACAGGGACGGACTTGGAGCAGGAACGAGGGGACACAGTGGACACCAGAGCAGCAGCAGCTACAGAACACGAAGGGTCACGCTTCCAAGACTTGAGACAAGTCAGGAAGGGGTCAGATTCCAGAACAGAGATGAAGAGCAATCTTAGACATGCTGGATCTGGGGGCCATTGCAGAACCGCACGGACAGGTTAACCATTTACGTCACTCACATAAAAGGAATGTCTGAGGCCGTGGAGACAGGAGAGAAAGGAGGACACAGCACCTCCCTGAGAGGGAGGCAGGCTGAGTGAGAAGGGGCTAGAGGCAGGACCTTGGGCCCTGCGGGCCACACCTGGGCGCACGGCACACGCCCACGTCTGAGGAACCGGGGAGGGCGCGGGCGAGCAGTGAGGGAGGCCAGGCAAGGGAGGCAAACCAACCTACAGACTCTGACAACACACAGAGCTCAATCCCTCTCAGAGAATATGTGAACTGTAATTCTAACACAAAAGTTTTCAAATACTCACCAAACATCCATACGTCACTAGCTGAGGTAAAACGGCGAAAATTGATTGACTCTGGAGCCATCCATTTAATAGGCAATTTTCCTTTGGAAGCTAGAAGATTAATTTTAGAAAGTAAAACTTCCCTGTCACCTGCTTAGGAATCTAACAGTTAGAGCTAGCTGAGATTTTTAGTACCAAAATCTTTGGGAGAACTGCCTTGCCCTCCCTGACGCTGGGTCGTCTGGGGGTGACAGAGGAGAGGCAGGGAGCAGGGGAGAAGGGCGCCCCGGTTATCGGGAGGCATCAGCTCCCAGCTCAGTTGTGCCGGCTTCATCTACAGGCTGGAGGCCTGGCTTTAGAAATGGCCTGGTAGCCACACACAGTCAATTCTCATTCACAGTAGTTACGCTCTATAAAGTCGCTTTGAACACCGAACCATTGCTCCCGGGAGAAATGTGTACATATGTATCCATACCTCACACAGATTATAACCTTAAGTCCTACAAACTTATCCTGGTAGGTTCTGACTTCTTTGGAAAACGAGGTATGGATGTGTTGCTGACCTGCCTGAGGCACTGCTCCCCGCCCCCCCGGCCCCGCACATAGGGGCCACAGCTGGGGTTCCAGCCTGCCCGACTGGCCCAGAGCCAGAGGTGCTGGTGCCGCACAGTGCTGCCCCCCCCTCGCTGTCCACCAGCCCAAACGGACACTTTGTCACTGCCCTGGGCACATCCACGCCTGACTATGAACGCATCGGAGTGTGGATTCGGGGTTTACAAGTCTCAGCAAGCAGACGAATGTGCAGAAACAGAATCCACAAAATATGAGGACGGGCTGTACCACCACCAGGATGTGAAGAGCGGGAGGGGGCACAGAACGGAAAGGACACTCTCAGAAAGCCTGAAACTGGCTCTCTTTAGAGGCCTAAGATCCTTCCTCTGTGCCACCTCCCTCAACATTCTTTCACCGGATACCAGCCCTCAAGGAGTCCTAATTCCAAAAGGCAGAAACAGTTTCCCAAATCCAGCGGAAGTGAGAGGGTGTGGCAGGGGGAGGGGCAGGGGGGAGGAGGGGCTGCAGGCACCAGGCAGGGACAGGCCCTGATCCAGAGGGCCCCGGAGCAGGGTGCTAGGGTGCCGGGCTCTCTTCTATAAGCAAGGGTGCTCTCAAGACTTTTAATCGGAAGACAATTACATTTGTTTCATTAATTTTCTTCCACTTAACTTCATGCACCTTCATGACAACTGAGGTCAAAGCCTCTGATTCCCTCACAACAAATGACTCTCCAGCTGTGCTCTGAGCGGAGGAACTCCTAACCCCGAGGGGCTGTGCTCCTGAAGCCTAGCAGGATCTAGACTTAGTGACCTCTCTGAGATAACAATGTGTGACCTCGTCAGTTGCCCACTTTAAGTGCTGTCTAGATGATGTAGAGTCTTGGCCACCCTGCTGTTTGGAGTTTAGCCCTTTAGTGGAATTCTAGGGTTTGGACTAGTCAGGATGTGAGGTAATAGGAAATGTATTTTAAAACAGTGGAAAGGTGGCTTGGTCGTTTTTAAATTAAATGACTACATAATCAAAATGAATAAACAACCAGACTTTTCCTTCCACATAAAAAGGATCAGGCTATAGTATACAGAAAGCATTTGGACAGAGAACTGTCATCAGCTACACTATAAAATGAAAAAGACTAATTCTGTATGTAAGATTAGGGCTCATCTTGCGACAATACAAAAATCAAACAAACTGAGCAAGAAACTGGCCTTTGTAAAATGGTGGTTAATAACTAGAAAATATACTAAAAGCGTAATATGGACTTATAATCCAAACCTTAGCTGAAGTACCAGGAATATGAAAATTAGTAATAATTTGAAGAACCAAGTCAATCTGATTCCAAGACTGGGAAAACTAAAGAAAAAATCCCATCAGCTAGAGTTCAGCTCCAAAGCTAAAGGATCAAAGTCTCTGGAGTCAGCAGACTGCAGATCTGTAAGTCCGGCGGCGTGCACTGAGCCAGGGCACCCACCACTCTGCGGGGAGGTTAGCCAGCTGTGTCTACGAAGTGGAGGACATCCAGGCTGATTCTAGCTTTCGGCTGCTAGAAATAAAGCTACAATGAACAAACACCAGTTTTGTGTAAATGTGACTTTTTATTTCTCTGGGAGAAACGCCTAGGTGTGTAAGAGCTAGGTCATATGGGAGGTGCGTGTTTAGTTTTCTAAGAATCTGCCAAACTCTTTTCCGGAGCAGCTGTACCATTTTACATCTGCGCAAGCAATTTACGTTCTCTGTGTCTGCCAGCATTTTGTGTTGTCACTACCGTTACATTAGCCATCCTGACAGGTGTGCACGATACCTCCCCGTGGGCTCACTCTGCACTTCCCTAGTGGGTAATGTGCTTATGTGCCATCTGAAAACCCCCTGCGGTGGAGTCTCTCTTCATATCTTCTGCCCACTTTCTACCTGTGTCCTTTCTTTTTTTACTGCTGAGTTTTGAGAGTTCTATCTGTAGCCTAGATACCGGTCCTTTGTTAGACATGTAGTTGGCAAATACTTCCTCCCACTCTGCAGTCTGTCTTTTCATCCTTCTGCCTGGGTCTTTTGCAGAACAAAAATTTAAAATTTTGATGAGGAAGAAGCTATCAATTTTTCCCTTTTATGTATGTTTTTGGTGTCAAGCCCAAGGACTCTTTGCCTGGCCCTAGATCCGAAAACTTTACTCCTATGTTTTTTCCTAGAAGTCTCGTAGTTTCATGCCTTATATTTAAGTTTATGATCCATTTGAGTTAATGGCGAGTGAGTTCAGGTTGAGGGTCATTTCTTGGCCAGGGATGACCAACTGCTCCAGCACCTTTGTTGAGAAGGCTGTCTTTCCTCCACGGACCTGACTGTATACCACTGTCAAAAATCAGCTGAGCATATTAGAATGTACCTTTTTCAGAGTTAAAAATCATTAAAGATCCTGAGCCCGTTTCTGATTTATTGCTCTGATTTCTTACCTTTGTAGTAAGTACTGTCTTCCATGTATCGGGATAATCCGAAGTCTCCTAATTTTACACAATCATTTGAGGACACCAGAACATTCCGAGCAGCAATGTCCCTGATAAGGAAGAATTTGGGACAATAGATTTTAATACAAGGGAAAACCCCCACAAACTCATCTATATTATATAAAGACATACAGGTACTCTGAAAGACAGCTTATATACAATACAAACAAGAGCTTTATTATACACTGAAAGGAGAGATACTTTTACTATTTTACTTCAAATATATTCCTTTTGGCAGATATTTACTCATTAATATGGTGATTACTACTTTGAATGATGGTGAAGAATATTCTCAAATAATGAAACCACTTATTAGTTTTCATGCAATCATATTGCCGGCTGCATTAACTGATAGACAGTATACACGACCAGGGTGTGTAACTCTATGGTTACGAAAAAACCTCATTAATAAAAGTAAAATGATCTTTGGAACACTTGTAAACGATTTTGCTGATGCAGTCCGTTTCAGTGCCGGATAACAAAACTCTAACACAATGCAAGGCAAACAAGTTGTAAGGGCTTTAACTTGTATTCAAATGAGAGACCCAGATTATGAACAGAAATTCTGCAGAAGGCCAACAGATGTCACTCCTGGCGCTATGGTGTCCTGGAAAGTCCCAGGACAATATCTGTTTTAGGTCCATAGTGCCACGTAGAGGCTGTCAGTAGTATTTGTGGAAGGAATAATGGACCTGTTTCATACTCCATGTGAGGAAAAACCCCTCAAATCCATGTGTTCCCACGCCAGGGCACCACACTCGGCTGGCATACGCACAGCAGGACATTTAGTGCCGTCCGTGTACGAGAGTTGGGGGAATGAAAGGTCTCAGGGCACAGTGAGAACCTCTCCCACCTCCTTCCTGCTCAGAGGCAGCTCACCAGCTTCACACCAGGGTCTCACCTGTGCACAAATCTTTTGCTCTCTAGGTACGCAAGGGCTGTGCTAAGCTGATAGGCATAGAGGATCAGAGATGCTAGATCCAAACTGTATTTCCTTACTTGCAGAAATGACCTCAGCTTTTTGAACAGTGACCAAAAAAGAAAAAAGAGAAAGAATTAGTGTCAGAGACTAAAAATCAACAGCAGAAGAGCTATATTCAAAAACAATGCTGATCATTTCCAAATGCATTTTTATGAGAATGGCTTCAATTCTACCCTAATAAAAAATGCATAATGAAAGAAACATATCAGCTCAGAAATTATGGTTAATCATTCTTTACTTGAGATCCAATTGCAAAATTGGAATCTTCATGATTCTAGACACATTTCTGAAAACATACGGAAAGATGCTTCCAGGGAATGAATAAAGGCACAGTATAAAATACTGCCAGATAATGAGAGCTGGAGAACAAGAAGCTCCAGTTACCGTTCAAACAAGCCTCCTCCACAGCCATGGGTCAGTCCACCTCCCTCAGACCTCCCCATGCCCCAGGCAGACCTGAGCACAAGGGGGTGAAAAGGAAGGGGAGGCAAGAGGTTCTCCCTCTGCCCCCAGGAGGTTCTGGGTGAAAAAGGATAAAACGGTCCCGTGTTGGGTATTTACGCACTAGGCTTACTGGTCCGTCCTTACTACCGCTATCATGACTAATTCAGCTAAATGCTAATAATACAGCAAAGAAGGCAGATGAATTTAACACTCCAATCCTACAAAATCTCCTACATGAAGGAGAAACATTGATGATTTAAGCCAGAAGAATTAGCAAACTCTCCAAAAACAAAAGCAGAAAAATAATGTGAACCAAAAACATCCATAAACACTCCATTTTATTTAGCAAGGCATGGTAGCAGAAGGAAAGACACCGGAGAGGCCCTCAGATATTTCACTCGCCAACTCTGTTACCCAAGCTGGAAGAGGACAGCAGTGGGAGGTGCCAGGCAGTGGCCTGTCCTCGGAAGGCAGGGCTGACGCCGTCACGAAGAGGACGACGGGCCCAAAGCACCCTCAGGTTCCTGCTAACAGAAAACCCCAATTTTCATTAAAAGCAAGACTGTTTGGTGTCCTTCAAAGAAGTAATGTGTATAATGTGTCAGAAGGTTAAACTACTGGGTTTCAGTGCCACAGAGTCATGTGTAGACATCTGGAAAGTTGCTGTGTTTGCCCCAAGCAGGGGCCCACAGAGCAGCCTGGGGACACAGACAGAGGCTGTGTGGCTCAGCAGGCTCAGGTGGGACCAGCGTCCAGGCGGTGGTGATACACCGACTCAAGAGCTTCTGTGTTCCAGACAGAGTCAAATAAGGACATCGGCTCACAGTCTGTTACTCACGTTTTAAAAAGAAACTGTGACTAACATGAGTCGGTCTGAAAGACACTGAAAAGTGAATAATATGCCCAAAAAGATGAGGCAACTGTTCTGATTTACATAAATTCAGCCTTAATTTACCCAAACTCCACTAACGTTGCTGCTTTCACTCTCGAATCCCTGGGCTTGCTCTTCAGACAACAACAACAGAGAGGGGAAAAAAGGACCGCTTGGTCACCTGTTGCTTCCACTCCTGACAAATCCTTTGGATGGGAAGACACTGCTGCCAGCACTGAGTTAGGGGATTACTTGGGAACTTACTGATGAAGACGCGCTACTCATATGCACTAGGGTGTATGTCGCACACTTCCCCGAGGGGGCGGGCGGAGCGGGCGGGAGGCGGAGGTGGGGCAGGTACCTCTCCGAGCGTGCACAGCTCCATGATGATCCAGACGGGGTTCTCTGTGATGACTCCGATCAGCTTCACAATGTGAGGGTGGTCAAACTGACGCATCGTTACTGGGGGAAAACAGTGGTCCAAGGTCAGTCTTTTGAAGATATTTCAGTTTCCTGAAGACTAGTTCAAATAAGACTCAAGGCATTTTAATGGGGAAGTCCTTGGTGGTCCAGTGGTTAGGACTCGGTGCTTTCACTGCCAGGGCCCAGGTTCAATCCCTGGTCGGGGAACTAAGATCCCACAAGCTGTGTGGCACAGCCAAAAAGTAAGAATAAAAAAACCTCAAGGCTAATGATGTGGCAACTGGGAATTCAATTCCACCAGTCAGGTCAGCTCACAAGTCGCCATAAAATGGCACAAAAAAAGCAGACCATGTGAGGCACAAGATGCCACTGCAGTGAACTTGTGAGCAACTTTACAGGGGGACATACTGTGAGAATGAAGGGTTAAGAAAACCTCCTCTTATTTTCCACGGACAAATCTGACCTGGGGCTAACTTTCTAGGTTTTCCTTCGGAAATCTCATGAAGTTGGAATGTGTGATTCATTTTCTGAGCAATACCCTTCACGGTAAAAACCACCCCTGATTGGTAAGTTGCTGATGGGGTAGCAAGAGCTCCCCTGAGCGTGGGTGTGGCTGGGCGTCCCCTGCAGAGCCCCAGAGCCACAGCGACAGGTGTGTGAGGGCTTCTGCTTTGGACCCGGGTGGCTCCTGCGTCCACCATTGTGGCCTCATCCCCTCACAGGACCTGATCACTACCAGGGCTAAGCAAACGAGTTCCCGGACTGCTGTGAGGACTTCCCTACAGGAGAAATGCTGGCCTGCTGCTTCCAGTCCTGTTCTCCCCTCCAAGCAAGTCTGATGCCAGATATGGCCTGTCGCCGTCACGTGAGTGTGACTGCCTCACTGAGCCCAAGATGACCAAGAGGGCCCTGCACATATGTGCACATACCTATGTGTGGGTGCATATTTTTAAGTGTGTATACATTTCTAACATCTAACAAGGTCACTTGCACAGTACACTGACTAGGATTAGTGAGAAGCAGGACAACCTTCACAGAACTCCAGAACCTCAAAACGGGAAGTGACTTTTCATGTGACCTACTGCAGTGGTCCCCAAAGTACCTGGACTTCATAGACTATTGAAATGAAGAAAACTTTTTAAAATTTTGGGGACCAATACAGGGCTGATTGTTGTTTGTTTTTGTTTTTGCGGTACGTGGGCCTCTCACTGCTGTGGCCTCTCCTGTTGTGGACCACAGGCTCCGGACGCGCAGGCTCAGGGGCCATGGTTCACTGGCCCAGCCGCTCCACGGCACGTGGGATCTTCCCGGGCCGGGGCACGAACCCGCGTCCCCTGCATCGGCAGGCGGACTCTCAACCACCGCGCCACCAGGGAAGCCCTGGGGTTGATTTTTATGATGCCAAGCAAGGACATTAGAATCACAGCAGGAGCAAATATCTTTTAGTATCCATTTTAGTATGGAGCCCAGAGTTGGCTGCAACTCAGTGCTGGATATGTCTGGAGTAGACAGGCCTCTCACTGTTTTCACTCTAGACACCCTACAGCCGTCCCTCAGTATCCACAGGGGATTGGTTCCAGAACCCCCAGGGGGAAACCGAAATCTGCAGATGCCCAAGTCCCTCTGAAAAATGGCAGAGTATTTGCACGTAACCTATGCACATCCTCTTTACACTTTAAATCATCTCTAGATTACTTGTAATACCTAATACAATGTAAACGCTATGTAAATAGATATCAGAGCGCAGCAAATTCAAGTTTTTGCTTTGTGGAACTTTCTGGAATTTTTTTTCCAAATATTTTCAATCGAAGTTGGTTGAATCTGCAGATGCAGAACTAGCGGGTATGGAGGACTGTATATCCTACCAATGCACCCAAGGATTACACTGGCTTCTTGCAAAGTCACCCCACACTCACTTGAGAGAACTGAAACCCTTAAGGTATTTTCTCCCCCTCAATTTTGCCTACACATTCCAAGAATAGGACCTGGTAGTTAAAAACAAACAAACAAGCAAGCCCCCCCCCCCCATAAACACTTGGCACAAAATCCAAAGTGTATCACTGAATTTCATCTTGTCAATTCAGTTCATCACTTAAGTATAATGTGATATTTTTGGATAAACATTCAGGAACCCAGTATATTCACTCATTTTCAATTGACTTACCATCATTTTTGGTTTTATGTTACCCTTTACAGAAGTAATTATTAAAAATACTACACAGTACAGGGCTAAGAGGAGAATCTTGTGGTCACTAGGAAACTCTATCCCTGC